ACTCTGAGGGCCCAGCCAGTGAGGGACATGGCTTGCTTGGCTGGATGGCAGGGGCCAAAGTCCTCCCTGCATCCTGTTTATTCTGGGGAGATTTCCTGATCTGTCTGGGCCTGATGCTCACATGGAAGACCCAGGAGCTGGGGTGCCGTGGGGAGCTGGAGCCAGCCTTTGGAATCCCAACCCTTGGACTTCTCTGGCAGGAGAGGCAGGTCACAGGGAGAGGGCGGGAAGCTTCCCTACTTTGCGGATTGCTCCACGTAGCCGTGATCCAGCCGCACACTCTGCCTTTCACAAGGGATCTTACAATGATAGATGCCTCTGGGAGGGTCTCCATGTTGGCACATTTTGTGTCTCTACCTTAGGCTTCTCCCGAGATCGCGGGGCTGTAGCAAGAACCGAGCCTCAGAGGTGCTAAGACACTTCGGAGGAGGTCTTGTCTCCTGTTGACCCCCGCTTGTATACCTCTGGAGGGCCCCTGGGGACGACGATGGTCAGGCATCTCTTCTGTACTGAGTCACACTGCACTCTGGGTCCCTGTCGTTCCTGCTCCTGCCCTGAGCTGCTCTCTGCATCCTCTCCCAGAATACTTCAGGGGACTGGGTCTCATCGGATGTGGCTGGAGGTCCATGCTGCCCCCCACTGACCCCTGCCAGGGAGAGAGTCCATTGCCCGCTGCTCCTGGTCCCCAGGTCCCCATGCGGGCTCACTGCCTCGGAGTACAGGCACCCTTTGTAGCCCTCCGACAGCTGCCCAGTGAATGGGGGACTCGGTGTGGACCGTGGCTCTGCCCCACTTGGAACCCTGCTCTGTCCCCTGCAACACACAGGCCACTCTTACGGCAGGGGCAGCTGCTGTGGATTCTGCTCTGACCGATCGGTGAGGAAGACAGGCGTGTGTCGTGACCCTCTTACATTTTTCTAACAAGGAGATCAAGAAAGGCCTTCTCCAACAGCTCCTCACTGCATACACATTTCCCTGTGAGACAGCTGCCCCCAGAGCTCCTGGGACCCATGCACCCCACTCAGGCAGGCGGGGATGAGCTGTCCAAGCAGCAGACGCACGGGGGCACCAAGCCGCAGGATGCACGCATGAGAGCAGGGTGGCCCTTCTGACAGGGAGTCACAGGGGCAAGGGGTACTTTCCGGTCTTCTCCCGGGGCTGCCTGAGCCAGAGCAACACAGCCACTAGGACCGGGTGTGGAAGCAGTGCCCGCCAGTGGACAGAAGCAGGGGGCAGGAGGGCGTCTGGTCACCGAGCTGATGGAGTTCAGGGTCAGACAGGACTGCCTGGCTGGGGCCTGGTCAGGGGGCAGGGCCGGGGGCAGCTCACACCTCTTTGCTGGAGTGAGGCCTGGGCCAGGAGGTCCTGGGTCCAGCTTTGTAGTCTCACCACGTTGTGAACCTCTGCTTCCGGTCTGGGCACGGGCCGAGACACCCATCCCCAGCAGGCATCGGTGCTGCCCCAGAGAGGTCCATGTAGGTAGGGGGAGGGTGGGTAGAGTGGGGGTAGAGAGAATGAACTCACCTTCCAGCAGACCAGCAAACCACCGTCTGAGACCAGGGAGCTCAGACCATCAGCAGGAGGGGAGGAACCACTTGACCCTGGCCCAAAGCCCGGTGCACAGTCCCAGCATTGAATACTGAGCAGCGGGCACCTCAGGAAGGGGATATGGGACACTGGGGTACAGTCCCCCAAGCCAGAAGCTGGAGGACGCTGCACACAAGTGTCCAGGACAGTGTGGCACAAGGGAAGGGAGCGGGCAGGGCTGGATGTGGAAGCTGGTAGAGCAGGTGGGAGAAGGGGCAGCATTGAGGTGGAGAGAGCAGAACCCTGAGCGGAGCACCATCCGTTGGCCAGAGCAGTAGGTCCTTTCCTCGGTTCTTACTTAACTTGATCTTGGCCTGCTCTGCACACTGCTCCCATACTCAGCGACAAATTCCTGGGAGTGACTTAGGAGTGTGTCACCTGAAGCAAACCTCTGAACCCTGGCACCTGCCTCACTTGCCACCCACTTGTCCTTACGTCACCATCATTGTGGTTTACCGTGAGGCCATCTCCCCTCCTGTGTGACCACACTGATGCCCACGAGTTTGTGGAAAGCAGGAGGGAAACACAGCATGGGCTGAACGCAGCATCTTGAGAATTTCTTAACTAAAAGAATTTTTTTTTTTTTTTCTGGAAAGCATCGAGCTATTTGTAGCCCAAGTTGGTTGAACAGATTTTTCTGGGTGTAACTTATTTTTTCACTCATTAACTTCTTTTCCTTGTGAATTAACAAGTAGCATTTTTTTTCCACCCAGGAGTGTCTTATTTACTTCTCTTTGAACCACAGCCAGCATTTTTTCCGCCTGTTGGGGAAGCAGACTCACTCGGGGAGGCCACAGCCCCTTACCTAGGTTAATGCAGTGTGTCCAGGCAAGGCCCTGCCACGCCGGCTCCCTCCCAAGGGAAGGAGGTCTTATGCTGTCCCATCTAGGGGGATTGGAGGCACAACCCACCAGCACCTCCCAGTCCTGACTTCTGAAATGTCCCAGGCAAATATTTGGCCTGCCGGTCAATAGTTATTGCCACCCCGAGGGTCTCTCAACCAGACAGGGGACAGGTCTGGTGTGTCTGTGGTGGGACTATTTGGGTCTATCCCCTGGACTTGGTCCTGAGTGACCACAGCCCCAGAGCAAGGAGTGAAGTCCCCTTCCCCCTTCTAGGCCAGCAGCCTCTGGTGACCCTTAGGATTTCACAGAAGGCATTGACCCAGGCCTGCCCTTGACACCTTCTTCCAGGGAGTGGCTCTGGTCTTCTTTCCATCAGCTCCACACTGCTCCATGCCTCCACTCCAGACTTAAAACACTGGTCCCTAATCCCATAACATTTCTGTACATAATCTTTTGGAGTGCACTTACCTTAAGACGTATTTGTGCGGTACACCTTGTTCTTGTTGTCTCCTGTCTCCAGAATTGTTTTAAGGCCTATGATTCCTGTACATGTGCACTTCCCACCCTCGGCCTGAGCTATGCCCTTGACCTGCAGCCCACTCCCCTCAAGGCCTGACCCAGGGCTGTCTGGAGCCCCGAGGGGGCCCTTTGCAGGAACACATCTGCCTTATCAAGGACAGGTTCCTGCCTCCTCCTTTGTCCCCACAAGCACAGGCTTGTACGGGGCAGTTCATGCTAAATGTCTGTGTCAGTTTTCACCAATTGAATCATTTTTGCAAAGCACCCGGCCCCTGAGATGGGGTTCCCACCGAGCCTGTCAGAACTGATGAAGCCTCAGGAGTCCTGTCTATCACTTCGAGTGCCCCCTCCCTGCCCCATTCCTTTATCCACAACTCCAAATTCCCCCAAAGCTCTGAAACTTAAAGGTGTTCAAAACTCTGTAACAAAGCCAGCCTTGAACTGATGTGCAGCCCTGTATTATGGCCTTTATTTATTCCAGTTTGTGTGAATAGCCACGTTTCACTACAAACACCTTAATGTATTTGATTATGAGGTGCAGCCGCAGGTTCCAATGAGGTATCACGTAATGTACGAGATATATGACAAATTCTGAATTCCAAACACATCTGGCCTCGAGGCTTTGGATGAGGGGTTGGAACGGTGGAGTGTCTCCACACTGGTCACACTTCTGGAGGAGGTGGAGGTCCCAGTAGAGGGGAAATGGGCTTTTGCCACCGAATTTGGCAGAGCAATGATGGCTTTTTCATTTACTGAGCAAACAACACTGTGCTAGGTGCTGGTGATTCAGAGACCGAGGACCCCACGGACCAGCAGAGGGACCAAGGGGCACGCAAGGGGCTGGGAGAGAGGAGGGTTTCTTGCGTGTGGAAGGTACAGCAGCCATCTCCTTTTAAGGGGGCCCTCCCCTAGGGAGCTGGTGACCTACTGGCCTGTCCCTTTCTGTGAGACTCAAGACTCTAGATGTGCCACCTGGGAATTGCATTCCAGGGAAGCCAAAGGTACTTGGGAGTGTGATAGTACCAGAAGACAGGAGGCACTCATGCTTGTGAATCCTGCCAAGTCATTGAAGTTCTGGGGCCTCAGCTTCCTCATCTGTAAATGGGGTGCCGGCCCTGACTCTGCCTTCAGTGCCACTGACTGCCCTCTAGCACAGAAGGCTGGTATCTCCCTGCCCCCTTCTTGGGGTGGTAGCAGGTCTGGCTGTGCGTCTGCAGAGCAGAGGGTGACGGGCTGCAGAGGGGAGTGGGAGGGCAGGCACGCTTGAGGTCAGGCCATGTCCTGTCCCAGATGTCAGCTGAGTTACTCTTCAGTAATGATCCCAGAAAATAAGCCAGGAAGAGAGAGGAGGGACAATTGTCCAAGGGCTTGGCCTTTGCGGCTTGCCCAGGTGTATCTTCTTCCAGAGCAGGTGTGCACAGCCCTGAACAGGCTGTGGAGGACAGCTTTGGCGCTGGCCCTGCGCCGGGCATCCGACCTTCCGTGCGGTGACCATCACCTTTCCTGCCCTGGCCAGAAGCAGGACTCCCCGGGGCCAGCACCTCCCACGTCCGTGGAGAGGTGAGGAGGGGCTGGAAGGAGGCCGCCAGGCCCCGGGGTGGGGGTGGGCGAGGGCAGGTATTATGGAAGGGCCACAGGGAGGGAAGGTCAGAGGCCGAGGCATGGACCGGGGTCCCTTGAGAGCAAGGCAGGCGGCGTCGGGGCCCCGTGCACGGAAGACGCGAGGTGGGGCGGGAGTCGGGCAGCCGCCACGCGGTGGGCGGGGGCAGCGCGGGCGTCGCCGGGTTCCCCAGGGCGCTGGCGGACGGCTGGAGGCGAGGGCGTCGCCCGGAGGCGGAGGGCGCGGGGCCGTTGGGGGGCGCCTGGGTCCCCGC